CATAAAAGAATACTGTTATAATGAGGACATACTGGTAGGAGAATCACATCACATGAAAGAATACTGTTATTATGAGAACATACTGGTAGGTGAATCATACCACATGAAAGAATACAGTTATTATGAGGACATACTGGTAGGTGAATCATACCACATGAAAGAATACCGTTATTATGAGGACATACTGGTAGGTGAATCACATCACATAAAAGAATACTGTTATTATGAGGACATACTGGAAGGTGAATCACATCACATGACAGAATACTGTTATTATGAGGACATACTGGTAGGTGAATCACATCACATGAAAGAATACCGTTATTATGAGGACATACTGGTAGGTGAATCATATCACATGAAAGAATACTGTTATTATGAGGACATACTGGTAGGTGAATCACATCACATGAAAGAATACTGTTATTATGAGGACATACTGGTAGGTGAATCATACCACATGAAAGAATACAGTTATTATGAGGACATACTGGAAGGTGAATCACATCACATGAAAGAATACAGTTATTATGGGGACATACTGGTAGGGGAATCATATCACATGAAAGAATACCATTATTATAAGGATACAACCTACATTTTTACAAGCAAGTGATTTTGCCGATTTTTATATATTGGCTACAAAATAATTGTTAACCTGCTATTCCTAATGAAAATATAAAAGCTTTTTGTATCAATTACTACATCAAAACTTAGGATAATAATTTGTTCATTCATTCATTTCTTCTTAGAAAAAATCCCACCATTCTTACATAACATTCTTCCATCATCAAAGACATACCATGCCCGATATTTTTTACTTCAGAGTTTTCTGTATTACAACCTGCACAGAAAATGCATCTACCATACTGTATGCACCAGAAAAAAGACTAAAATCCTCTACCATACGGCTCATCAATCTCTTTACCCTTCAAGGGAGAAAGCAGATGTTTTCACAGGAATAATTCAGAGGTAATTGACAGCACATGCATTTTAGAAACACATGCCCCCACAGGCACACTTTAACACAACAATTTTCAGGTCAAAATTGGAGAAAAGAATCTTCACAAGAATGCAAAAGAAACAATACTAAAGATGTTTTTTCATTGCATAATATCTTAATACTGAAATGTGATGTTTCTGTTCTTAGACCACATATCAAGCAAATTTGACCAATGCTATATCTCAAGAAAAAGATGATAAACTTTATGTATGTGGGTTCCTAAAATATTACCTGGTATAATATATAAAGTGCAATGTTTCAACTTAGACTGCACAGATGTACAGGCTGGCCTGGCATAATACTGGTGGCTTAAATTATAATCAGTTTTGGTTCCATGAACAGGTTAAGAGTTAGAGTTTGGTCAATTACTACAGGGAAATGCTGCGGCTGACCAATGGCAGAAAAAGCACCTTAGCAAGTCATTATTTATCATGACTAATGTATAACATTCAGAAGATCGTTTTATATACATTCAAACATTTATTTTTCATTTATCACTAAGATAGACTCACTTTTCAACAACAAATGTATGTTTTGAAATGCACATTTCTAAAAACACATGTATTTATGGTAAATATGTATAAAACCAAATGTGAATTGAATTAATCATCACATAATACATGTACATAAATTATTTGAATATCTAATTGAAAATAAATTTCTCGTAAAAGTTTGAAAGGAGCATTTTAATTATAAATTATCTAAAACATTCCTTGTTAAAGACCAACCATGCCATATTAATAAGTTACTTTTTTGCAATTCTTTTCATTAGAGTTTACACAGCAGATATTACAAGGACAACTTGGATTAAGGTTGGTACATGATTTTGTACAGGTTGATTTTTGCTGGCACCTTAACATTTTTGTTATGTGGAGGAAGACTTATACTCAGGAGGGCTTGTTGCCCACCTTAGAAAAGGAGTAGGGCTTGTTGCCTACCTTACCAGTCTTGTATGGGAAGACTTTTGTCCACCATGACTTAATGTGTAGACATTTGCTCTTGTCCATCAAATCATTTCAGTGTGCAAAGACTTTTGTCCAGTAGGACTATAATTCACCTCAACATCATTATTGTAACAAAAGAGTGACTTTTGTTCAAAAATGATCTATTCACTCAATAATGCGGTTCAATTTTTTCTTTATTTCCTCCTCAAAGATGAGGTCATCTTTCCTCCTCAAAGATGTTCATTCTTTCAAAGAAGATTCATGGTCTTTATAAAGTTTTGCAATTCAATCATTAATTTTCACAATCATTTAAAACACACTGCAAGATTCAAATTCTTACACATCGTGCGGACATTAGTGAATGTATTTGAAATGCAACTCTATCATGCTCACTGACTCTTTAAATTAACGTTGCTGAGGCCCCAAATGTGATTAGTCATTGCCACCTGTTATAGTATAGAGCCAAGTCAGTCTGCACATCCAAGCAGTCTAACCATGCTCTACCAACTTCAAATCTGTATCTTGACTGCTCCAAAATTGATAATGGACAGTTCCAAAAATGGAAGCTGGACTAGTCCATTTAAGAAATTCAGCTGTGTAGGTTAAAGTACATATCTGTCCGACTTTTATTAAAAACTACAATGAAATTTCAAATCAGTAGATCACATTAATTAGGCAATTTTAAACAGATCTTCAGCCGTGTCTTTAATTAATAAAACATAAAATTTTGACATATTCCTGGCTCGCCAGTTTGTTTAATTATGAATGTTTTAATCATACTTTAAGATGATAAATCTATCACAGTAAGAAAACATAATCTTCAGACAAGTCATAAATGAATAAAAGATAACCTTTATTTCATCAGAAGTTAACCAGCAAAATTGTGAGTAATTTGACGCTTTGTCTTATCATACAGGTATTTTCTTCATTCATCAAACAACATCTACTTAGATTGAACGGAAAGGTTTTTTTCCTTCTTTCCTTCACTACATTTAGTCTGAAAATAAATTGCTGATATGAAGATTGAATGGAGCACCCCCCACCCCCCCAAAAAAAAAATCTTAAAGGTGGAAAGGAAACATGTTTCTTCAATGAAGTCAATTTGATTATCTGTTCTCTAACATCTTTTTGCACCTGAATTTAATGAAATAAATGTGCATGTAAATTAAGTGAAACATTGTTCGAGATAAAGAATTTAACTGAAATCAGGTGAAGAGGAAAAAAAAACAATAATTTTAATGGGAGGATCTTATATCATCATGACCTCCTAGAGTTAAAACAACTCATCAGAATGAAGGCTTAAATTGAATGAAGATAAACATATTGCCTGGACATCTCTGCTGTGGGTCCATCATAAATTAATTCAATAATCAGCAAAATCTTTTCAAAATTGCACAATTCCAAAGCAATCAGACTGTTACCTATTCATGATGTTGCAACCCCAGAAGCCATCAGATTCAACTTTTGCCAAAAAACTTCAAGGTAACATAATTATACACACTTTTTCTTCAACTCAAAGGTACAATTTGCTGAGGAATTCACAATATTTGATTCAGACAAAACTTCACACATTTCAGGAATTATACTGGCTGCCTGTAGCAATTACAAGCATGTAACAACAATATAAAACCAGTATTAAGTGGAGATATATCCACAATTGGCATCTATCAAACCACAACAGCAGATCTTTCACTATATAGCTTCCCCCTCAGCCATTCTATTTAAATGATATTATAAATACAGTAAATAAATATAATTTACCTTGATTCTGTAATGGTTTTCATCTTCAACAGTATTTCATTTACATATTCCACATTTTTTGCTATATTTCTGATAGGTTATTATAATCTCATAGAAAAGCAAAATTAGCACACCATTACAATTTCAATGCCTGATAAAGGCCAACCTTATCAGAATCTTAACAAGAAATCCCACTATTTAACAGTAGCAACAATAATTTTTACACGCTTTCATAAGGTTAAAAATCCACAAAAATATCCAACAAAATGTTTAAAATAAGGATTTTCACAGACAGCTGAGGAAATAGGTAGATGTTTAGTAGAGTGCAGTATAGGTCAAACCTGTCTTACTTCTGGATTCATACATCACTGTCAAATATTAATGTCAAAATCAGTTTAATTTGAAAGCAGGAAACTTGTAAAATGGACACTAATCCATAAAAGTTCATCAGTTAAGAGAAATTTTATCAACTCTTCATCAAAATGGAAGGCTAAAAACCTGATCAAAATTTTGGAGGTAAAAAAAGATATCACTTCATTTTAACAGGAAGTGACTGTTACACTAAGAGAATAGGAATGAAAAATGCTTTAAAATAAGCACGAAAAACGCAAAATATTTTTGCCAGGTATTTTCAACATGTGTGAATACTTAAGCTTAGAGACTATTAAAAACTCTTCATTTTTTGTATGAACATATGAACAAATAGCTCTTTTGCAATGAAACTTAGACCTTCGTTCTACTTATGTACTCTCTTGAGAAAAAAAGAAGAGTTATTTCACATAATCCTGGGATTTAGTAATAAATATGTTCATACAATGGGTAAAAGAATCTCTAGAGGAGATAATAAGGTTAATTATTATTAATGTATTAATGTATTTTCATTGTTGCAATCATGTTTTCGCTATTATTTTCTTCGGTTTTGCAATATTTATTCTTCATAAATGTGATGATTCCCAAGGGGAATTCATTATTTATTACAGATAGCATCTATATATAACATAGAATACAAATCAGGTTTAGTGATCTAAGACTAATGGGTTGAAAATAAAACATTGAGTTGTTGCCCCATATTCTTACTACTAATGGATGAAATCATACCCATTAAATCAAGCAAAAAATAGAGTTTTAAGTGTCACCGATTATTGTAAAATGTGAGGGAACAGAATAGTGTTCCAAAGAGACGTACATGTGTGGAGAGTCTCCTTCGATACATTGTCAATACAGTAGGTGTTCAGGTTTAACTCTCACATATCATATGTACAATAGTGAATACATTACAGTTACAGCAATTTAAATGTCAAAAGTTTACTTACATTTTGACACCAGGTGGCGGGTCCCAGACACATTCTCCGGAGGTGAGGTTTGCGTACATGTGTTCCCGTGTTCGGGGTTCTATTATCTCCACCCACTCCCATCTGAAAATAAACAAATAAAAACATCAAAATATAAGTTTATTCACCATGGTAACCAAAATTTATCTCAAGGTCATAAAATACCTTTTCTAAGGGATGCTTAGAGCATTTGGACCTGACTGAATAAAAAACAAGGGCAACATTGTCACATTATATACGCCCGTCACAGAAGCTTTTGACAGAGTTGTGGGCATTATAGATATGCATATAGGAGATATGCTCTGGGCAATACCTGGAAAATATCTGGATATATTATCATCTCTAGTGATTTTTTCATCTGAACTTTGACCCCTATATGATATATTTTATCATCTTTAGTGACCTTGACCTTGTATATATTAATCTAAATTACATGTTTTACACCAGTAGTCATGATAATGACCATTTGTATTTCAATCCCTCAATAAATGATGACTAAATGGTCCCAATACACATTTTCATAATTATTTTTATCTGAACTTTGACCCCTATGTGTGACATTGACCTTGACCGCAAGGACCTAAATTTTGCCTCACAATAGTGAACATTTGTGCCAAGTTATATTGAAATCCTTCTATGCATGTAGAAGTTTTGCACCAGAAAAACGTTTTTCAATGACCTCTAAGTGTGACCTTGACTTTTGACCTGGAGGCCTGGCTTCTCATAATGGTGAACATTTCTATGATGTTTCATTTTAATTCCTCCATGTATCACTACAATTTTGAATACCCCCACCCCATCCCATTCATTTAAAGCATCCTCAAATAGTAATTAATATCAAACATCAAGACTTGAAACTTTGGTAGGTGTTTTTATCTCCTAATTACCTTGGTTTACTTTTCTTTGATAATTTCTATGTATTCTTAGAACTGACATCTGCATACAATCTTTCAGATACTGTGCAGTCATTTATTAGTTGCAGAAGACATTTGGTAGTCAGCAGAAGACATTTGTTAGAAGCAGACGTCATTAATTACAAACACACAGGTGGTAAAAACTTTAAACTTGCAAAAAACTTCCTATCTATTATCTATACATTTACTTTTAAAATGATCCTTAAAAATCTAAACCAGTGTGGCTTAACTTGTAACCACCAACTTGTCTGTTTGTTCTGTTTAAACACTGATTTTAACACATGTTTTTGTCATATCTCAATGGTCCATCCACCTTACTGGCTTTCCTGGATAGCTAACCAGTAATCTGGATAGCTAACCAGTAATTCTGGATAACTAACCAGTAATTCTGGATAACTAACCAGTAATTCTGGATAACTAACCAGTAATTCTAGATAACTAACCAGTAATTATAGATAACTAACCAGTAATTCTGGATAACTAACCAGTAATTCTGGATAACTAACCAGTAATTATAGATAACTAACCAGTAATTCTGGATAACTAACCAGTAATTCTGGATAACTAACCAGTAATTCTGGATAACTAACCAGTAATTATAGATAACTAACCAGTAATTCTGGATAACTAACCAGTAATTATAGATAACTAACCAGTAATTCTGGATAACTAACCAGTAATTATAGATAACTAACCAGTAATTATAGATAACTAACCAGTAATTATAGATAACTAACCAGTAATTATAGATATCTAACCAGTAATTCTGGTAACTAACCAGTAATTCTGGATAACTAACCAGTAATTATAGATAACTAACCAGTAATTCTGGATAACTAACCAGTAACTCTGGATAACTAACCAGTAATTATAGATATTAACCAGTAATTATAGATAACTAACCGGTAATTCTAGATAACTAACCAATAATTCTGGATAACTAACCAGTAATTCTGGATAACTAACCAGTAATTCTGGATAACTAACCAGTAATTATAGGTAACTTACCAGTAAATTCTTGCCTGATCAGATCAAACAATTCAGATCATGCAACAAGTATAACTCAGTAGAAATTTTTCAAAGTACTGATAATTGAGTGATAAGGTTTCAATGAAAATCCTATGATTATTTTCTTGGAATAGTCAAGCTAAAACTTACATAACAGTGGTGCAGTAAGACTTTGAGTCTTTGTTTGAGTCTTTAACCATTGAGAAAAACATCATGGATATTTCCATGAACCCAGCTCCCCCTAACCTCAAGGCAGGCCAATTTTTTAGCATTTACTTGTGAAACAGTTGCATTGTAATACATATCAGCAAATTATATGCTTGCAAGATACAATTTATATCATTCAGTCTGAATAATCATTGCATTATGTAATTAAATCAAAATTCAAATACTCTGTGATCTTCTAAAATTTTCCAACAAAGATATAATGTTTTTTCATGACCTTTCTTTAAAAAAGGTCATTTATAATAAATTGAAACACATTCAGTTAAAACAAACAATAATTATGTCATCAAATCAAGAAGGATCAAAATAGCATCATTCTATTTACAAATTCCCTCGCAAATTTCCAGCAATATGCCAGAAGTAGCCTTAAGGCCATATCATATACAATTTGCAGAATTTCTAATGATTCTATCATTAATTACAATATGACCCTCTTATCTATACAAGAAACCCCTTGAGGGTTTGATGTGGCTCATCATTAACTAGTATCTTGCATGGGCATTGCATGTTCTATAGATGTAACATGATAATATGACTACATGGAAGACAAACAGTGTCATTACAAACAAAAGTATTGAACGTCTTGCAAGAACCATACACTCTTCATATAACATGCATTACCTCCCTTATTTGCCATTTTGGTCAATCTCAATATATTCACAATCAATTTTTCTTCAGGTAAACTGATATGTTGATATTGGTGCTACAATAATAGAGTTTGACACTTAACCTAATATTTTAATACATGTATATATATATAAATTTATTCAATAACAGCCCTCAAAATAGCTGCCATTTCTTTAATGGAGCTTAATTAGGAACTATGTATGCATGTTTAAAGAGAAAAAAACACATCTGCAAATGCTTAGTACAATATGTTACTTTCTTATATTATTCTGTTTCACTCAGATTGCACCAAGAAAAGCCAAGATCTAAAATCAGATGAAATTGTAAAATTCATGCTTAGAATTTGTACAATCTTTTTGAATAGTTCCTTTCAGATCTTAACCCATAATTATACATTTTCCATGCCTCTAACAACACTGTTTATAAATAACCAATTGATGTTTCATTTTCTCAACCATAACATCTTCCAAATTCTCATCACGCATCTATATTCATTAATACATAATTATCCAAACCCCATTATAGAAATCTGCAATATGGTAGTAATGTTCAAGGCATATAATACCATAATGGAGATCATAAACCATGAATATTAATAAAGATAACATAACCACATAAAATAAAGCTACCATTGATCCACTTGTTAGAAATTTAAAACAATGACCAATTTTATATGCTATGTATATGAGCCGCGCCACAACAAAACCAACGTAATGCGTTTGCGACCAGCATGGATCCAGACTAGCCTGCACATCCGCTTAGTCTGATCAGGATCCATGCTGTTCGCTTACAAACCCTATTACAAGTAGATAAACTGATAGCAAACTGCATGGATCCTGATCAGACTGCGCGGATGCGCAGGCTGGTCTGGATCCATGCTGGTCGCAAACCCATTATGTTGGTTTTGTCATGACGTGGCTCATATATATATCAGAACTGTAAGACAACATTTAACCTAAGCTTTGTTTATTTTAGTTGAGTTTAAGATTGCAGAATGACATTGATTAGGTCAAATAAATCAAGTCTTGAACATTTTAGTTCAACATTTAATCTAGTTTATAAAAGAAAGATGCAAATGCATGACAAATTCAAAATTAGATCCTGTCGTGGCTGGGATTCAAACTTGCATCCTCAAGCCTACATTAGCATTAGTAATCAATGCTCTAGACCACTGCCAGCCAAAGAAAAAAATCCCTGATGCAGTCAATGTTGTCAGAGGTTGTAATTATATTTATGAAGGTTATATGTAACAAAAGTGTTTCATGGTTTAGAACTGTTCATTATTTAGGGGAGAAAATGTGTATTCAGTCGTAGAGACGCGGAATGGTATTCAGATGGCCCCTCAAGTTCAAGTCCCAGTGTGACTGCATATTTTTCTCATCCTCTGATATTTGGCACCAAATGGGGGACCATTAGCATTGCCCTGTAACCCTGAAAAATTCGAGGATGGAGGAGTATGTCATGGTTTAGAACTGATCACTATTTACGAAGAATATGTGTAAGCAGCCAGTAAAGGTATTCCGAGGGTCCCAGGTTCGAGTCCTCGTGTGGCTGCACATTTTTACATCCTGTGACAATAGCAACATTCTAGCTAATTTAGTGACCAAGACAGACTATAAGAATGCTGTGGTTTAATTGGTTGACATTTGACCTTCCACCTGTCACAGCAAGATATAAGCTTCCTCATGAATGTGAAATATTTCTACATTATTCCTTGTGGGTTTCAAACCCACAGTAACAAGTTGCATGAATGAGTGACAATGACAAAACGGTGAAAACCCATTTGACGTCAACTAGACCAAACATCTCCCTGTGAGCTCTAGTGCATTCAGCAGCCTCTGCAATTTGCATCTTGATATGTAATTTAACACATACTTTCTTCGTTATTTTCATACAATGTTCTTCATTTCAAGAAAATGGAATAAATTTAGTCTCAGCTTGTTTTTAATCCAGATGATACTAGGCAGGAAAGATTAGACCCAAAGTAAATGAATCTTAACCCACTCAGGTAACAGCTGAACAATCAAAAAACTCATTTAAATGTTAATCACGTTTTCCTAGTGTTTCTAAATTTTCTACAAATCCTTGAGTAGCTGTTCTAAATTTACAAATTGCAATGTGAGATACATTACAAAATACAACCTGGAAAAAAAAACCTTGTCATGCTCAAATTTGTTTAAAAAGTTTAGATGATTGACTGTTAAGAACAGTCGTCTCCTGAGACTTTCAAACCAACCTTAACTGCCTTTGTTTAACTTAAATTTATGTTTGTAGCAGGTTTGAAATATTATAATTATCTCAGATTGAATG